TTTTTTGAAAAAACCATGGACTATAATAGGCTTGGGTATTTTTCAGATTTTTGGCGTTTTCTTAAAGTAGCTGTAATTTGAAAAATTTGAAGTCGAAATCACCTCAAACTTTCTAAACAGTATAAGTACATCAATATGTATCAGAAAATGCAATAAAAATTGAGAATTCTTTCCTTTTCAATTCTGGAAAAATTTGGTCTGATTTTTATCTTTGTTGATCCACAGTTAATTAACATTAGTTATTAATTGTCAGGTATTATTTTTAGGACACTGTGGAGGGTGAGTGTAACGTGATGATGGAGACATCCTTTGAGAAGTTGTATGAGAAGGTTGACCTAACTTTATTGAACCAACTGTTACATACGTCTCATCGTTGATCATAACATTGCTGATTACGTGGCAGCAAAGAACAACATGGTCATCAATTATAAGGTAAGTATATACTGTATATGTATACCCAATTACCCATTAGCGGTGGAACAGGGGAACTGTATATTTATACATGTATACAGTACATGTACTAGTTTTTGCTGAGCAAAATTCTGTTAGCTACATGAAGAGTGTTTAATGATTCTTCATTTAAAAGGATCTTGGTGATCTGTTGTATTTGCCCAATGAAATTATTGTTTATATACTGTACATGTGTACATGTATATCATGTTAATGTACATTGTGTTACTAGGACATGAATCACAGTAATTCTTACGGTATTATAAGAGGACTCCAGTTTGCCTCATTCATAGTACAGTATTATGGGTTGGTTCTTGATCTATTGGTATTGGGCCAGGGAAATGGCCGGACCTCCTCAGCTACCAAACAATTTCTTAACATATCAAGACATGGACACCAAGGCTGTTCCCCCTATTAGATTATACTCACGTTATATTGACAGGGTACATGTATTCTTCAGGTTAGTCTGTCCTGGTAGGTGTGGTTGTTGTGGGTGTGGTCTGTGATGAGTTAATGACCAGACGGGCGGTCTGAACTATCTGTTGATAATACACTGGTCACTGAGACCCCTTAATAGCTACCTATTAATAACTACCTATTTAATTACCAGTTGTTAATAACTTGTCATGTGATAGGTTTTCAGTTCATGATTTTAAAGACCTCATGCAGTGTTACCTGATGGAGCACCCTGACCCTAACGATGAGAACAGTGTCGGATACAATGACAAGAAGTGCTGGCCAACGGACTCCAGAATGAGACTGATGATGCATGACGTTGACCTGTGAGTTTGTTATTATTATTATTATTATTATCAAAAATACCACACTAGGAGAGAGCAAATTAGAATGAATATTTAAACTCAAACTTTAATCTGTTGATTTCTTTTTAATAGACATTTGAAGGTAATTTAATGACAAAGCCGATTAATGGAGCCATTTTTATATTCAATCCATTATCCATACTTCAGTTGAGTGGGACAGAAGCGTCTGGGGCAGAAGACAGCAGAAGAAGTGGTGGCTCTCATTCGGTCGCTACCAGTGGAGGAACAACCCAAACAAATTGTTACTAGAAAAGGAATGCTTGATCCACTAGAGGTGTGGCTATATAAATTATTAATTAATTATTTTATTATTTTTAGGTACACTTGTTGGATTTTCCTAATATAGTCATAAAAGGTAGTGATTTGCAGCTGCCGTTTCAAACCTGTTTGAAGGTAGGTGTGGTAGTCATGTGACAGTTGATGATGTCATCATGTATTTAGGTAGAGAATTTAGGTGATCTTATATTGAAGGCCACTGAACCTCAGATGGTATTGTTCAATTTATGTGATGACTGGTTGAAGAGCATACCATCATACACTGTTAGTTTATAGTGATCGATATGTACATGTATTTTCTGATACACATACGTGTACTCCTGTTGCGTAGAAACTTTGAGGTGATTCCAATCAAAATTGGACTTTAAAAAAGTTGCTCAAAAATTGGGTAAAAGTCCCTGTACTATTAGTAACGCAGTAGCGTTACTAAGTAGGATTTTCCCCACTTCAAAATGGCTGCCACGACTTTTGCAGCCTTGCTATACCGGGAAAACGAGCTCCTATGCTTACCAGACTTCTTAGAAGACCTTATCTTTACCAAGTCAAAAATTGGCAAGTCAGCCGTTTTGTTCAGCCACCTTTTTTCATCATCTCCTGTCAATCTAGTTAAGCAGAGGTATTGTGGTCTTTGGTCAATACTACAAGGATAACTTTACACCATTCTACTTCAAATATCCATGTGCAGATCCACAACTTACAAATAACTTGAACAATAAGAAAAGGTTGCCCTCTCTCTATCACTGCCAGTCCAACTTACCTCATTCCACCTTTTGTTAATTAAAAAAGCATAATTTATTGATGTTCTTATGCAGTGTAGAAAGTTTGAGGTGATTCTGACTTCAATTTTTCAAGTTACGACCATTTTTTTAAAATGTCAAAAATTTGAAAAATACCCAAGGCTATAGTCCATGATTTTTTTTCAAAAAATGGCTCTGAAATCACCCCAAATTTTTATTACATTTTCTGATACATATTGATGTTCTTATGCTGTGTAGAAAGTTTGAGGTGATTCCGACTTCAATTTTTCAAGTTAAGGCCATCTTAAGAAAAAAACCCAAAATTCTAAAAAATAGCCTATAGGAGGACATACTGTATGCATTATGATGATAAATGTTTATTCATTTATTTTTCTAGGATTTAGCTGATGCTATTTTTTGGGTTGGGTATCCTGGTCAATCTGGAGGTCAGGCTATTGCTGAAATACTTTATGGAGAAATGAATCCATCAAGGAAGACTACCTCTAACATTTGTATGAGGAAGCATCTCTTTACATTAACTGATTATACTTCTTTTCAACTCTTTCTTGGTCCCTCCTACAGTATCCAGGTGAGTACATTAATACAGCTGCTTATTGGCTCATGTCAATGAGGAAACCACCCAGTCGTATGTACAGCTAGGTTTTATACTGGGGACCCTGTCTTTCCCTTTGGTCATGGACTGAGTTACACTACTTTTGAATTAAAATGTTTCATAATTATAATAATTCTTAATTTTAGTTAATAATAGGACTAATAAAATGGATAATGTTACAGAAATCGTGATCAGTGATTCTGTTGATATCAACAGTGATTTTGATTTCACTGTCGTTAACACTGGTCCCTTGCCTAGGGCTATATCTGTACTTGGATATGTATCTTCTAATGTAAGATAACACTGATATATTAACAGTGATATCATTCTTTTATAGTTTCCTGATGCTCCTTTAAGAGAATTATTTGATTTCACTGGTGAATATGACATTTTTATTGAAAATCTCTTACAAAATAATGATAAAACATAATTGAAACATTGTCATGTGCCTATTTTTGTATTTTTTAAATTCAGTTCTTATTGCTCATTTCAATATTATTTACAACCCATTCCTGGCTTGTCTCAAATATGCTTGTACAGATAAAGGAAACATATTGTCATCTTCAGTGCTCAAGATGCTTGTATTAATGTGCTCAGAGAAGGGCTTCTCTAAGTTTTGGTTTCCCTCAATTGAAAGAGTAAGGTCTTCAGTATCTATAACAAACTAAGAACAAAAAGCAAAATATGTACTATGTAGACTTGATTCATTGCACATGCTGTGTACATGTACATGTACATACATGCAAATCCTTTAGTGTACATTAACTATGATACAAACTTTTAAATTCATTGTCAAAGTTTGCCGTTATTATACAGAAGGCTAATACTGTATGCATTGTGATTTTGGGCATTGTTCTTTTACTTAATGTTTCTATTGAAATCTTACCTGTAAGTGTCCAAGTACATGTACATGTACTTTCAAGGTCCTGGCCTTCTAAACCATTTTTTTTCATTACCATTTTGTTCGTTATCATTTTGTTCATCACAGGAGTAATAGTTGACACTAGATGTACAAGTACATGTAAATTTGCATAAATACAATTAAAATATACCTGTTTGCATATACATGTTCGTGACCAGGATTCTCAATTTGAACAGCCTCCTCTGCTGCTAAGATCTTTTTCATTGTTTCCTTCAGTATATCCTGTCATGATAGAGTAATTAGTACATAATGAGAGAATGTGGCTGTACTGAGAGACAGAGAATGCTTGTTGCATGTACTGGGAGACTGGATATAGTACTAAAGGGTGCATGTTAATTCTAATACATAAGAACTAAAAATAAAAACTCCCTCTTTTTCTTGTTTTCCTTACTTAAAAGGGTTTTTTATTTGTCTATTATAGAAAGAATCAATGGCAATCTTTGTCACAATGAATATAAGAGACAATCATGGCCGCCAGCAACACAAGAACAACAGTGTGTAGCAGTGTATCAAGATAGAGGGTGAGCATCGTGACCAGGCAGACAACAAGAGACAGAGAACTCAGTTTGATGTCCTTCCAAAATATAATATTCAGAACTATGAAAAGAATGAGAAAAAAATGGGGAACTTCTTATAGTTTGTTATAGTTGGTCTCTCATAACTCAACAAGGTAAAAACAACAAGGTCAAAACTAAAAGGTCAACAACAAGGTCAACAGCAAGGTCAAATACATTTATTGTATTTCATTGCAAGTGCAATTATGAGTAATAATATCAAATGCAAATACAATTGCAAATACCACTTTTAGTAATGTATTTAATTACATTGCAATTACAATCGAGAGTTATAATTAAAATACTTTATACTAGCACAATGTTACATTAGTTCTTCAAAATGCTTATCAAACAGACTGCCTAAAGTTTCTTCTGCACCACACATACATGCATGTACATACATGTACATGTACATAATTATAAAATCTATGGTAACTTTTAGGGTAATTAAATACAATTGCAAATACATCTGATTTTTGTTTATAAATACAACTGTGATTGCAATTACTCAAAAATATGTATTTAAATGCAATTAATTAGGATTGCAATGTATTTGACAATTACAGTACATTTTGTCCAGGCTTAAGCCTCAATTACAATTATAATTATGAAATTGTATTGTAATTGAGCCTCTAATTACAATTAAAACTGTGATTGACCAGGTCTAATTGACAGAAGTAAAATTAATTTCTAGCTACATGTATATGATACATGTATTTTTATATACATTGTTTTCCAATGGTTCAGAGTATCGGGCAAAAGTCCCTGTACTATAGTACATGGTCTCGGGCCAAATTTCGCCAAAATTGAAAAGGAGAGAATTCTCCATTTTTATGATGGGTCAGTTACAATTATATTAAAACATAATAGCTAGATGTACATGTATTACTGGAAATTGTTATTATTACCATTATTGTCATTTTCATGCATTAACCTGTACAAACTATATGACCTCTGACCCACTTTAAAATTCATAACTGGTCCAAATTTGATCAGAATAAATACATGTACACTCATCAAATGGGCAATAAAATTGTAAAACCTCTAGATATTAATGATATCAGAGCCTGAAATTACATTCAAACAGTGTTCTGACATTATGTCTGAACACAGCCTATTTTGGTCTGACATTTGAATGAATGGTCGAACGTGTTCATTTATCCTTTTTACATATATTAGGGCCGGGTCATATATGTGTCAATATGTGTGCTTGTTAGTGAGTTTAATTCAAAATTTTTTTGTAATTATAAAGAAACTTACAAAAGCATAACCATTAATTTAGTAATATTACTAATAAAAATTTTGTGTTGTTTACTAATGTTCAGACAAAATGGTAGAACAACACGGTAGTTGGTCGGACAATTAAGCAAAATGGTCGGAAAATGTCTGATGTCCGACTGTAATTTCAGACTCTGTGATATCATTGTTAACATAACAAAAACTCCATTTAACATGTACATGTGTACTTTATGCACAAAATAAATGTACATGTACACTGTATGGCTTTTATTTATACAGAATGACACACCCACATAACAAAGTCTAGAGAAAGCTACTATAATTACATTTACATGTAGATGTAGTAGATTACAGGAGTATATCTACTACTAAATTTACCGACACTACTAGCCTCCTACAGTAGTTTCTTGCAAGTATAGTTTAGCTATTTGGATCAACTTGCTTAACAATGGAAGGAAAGGAGAAATATGAAAATATGGCACCAGTTCCTATACAAAGTGAGGAGAATCTTTATGAACTGATTGACATTAATACTTATGTAAGGAGGGATGGTGCTCAATCCACAGAAGAGGCATCACAGAATAAATCATCAAAGCAGTCAACATGGAAGACACCGTTCATTGTTACGACCATGCTACAGTGCCTTGTAGTATTCCTATTGGTGGCAATACTTTGCTTGTTACTGGTACAGTTCTCTGCTAAAGATGCTAGTACTAGCACTACGAGTACTACTGGAGCCATTGCTGGTAATGTAGCCTCTCCAAACTTCACAGAGTGGTCTGATAATATAGTCAATAAAGTTAACAGCAATGTAACAGGGAGCCTTCCTGACTTTAATAAATGGGCAAATGGTGTTGCCTCTAAAGTTAACAACAATGTAACAGGGAACCTTCCTGACTTCAATGAATGGGCTAATGGTGTTGTCTCTAAAGTTAACAGCAATGTAACAGGGAGCCTTCCTGACTTCAATGAATGGGCTAATGAAGTGGCACAGAATACTTTTCAGTTACTTCAGATGAGCTCTCCCAACTGCACTGAAATTAATGAACAAATTTTACAAACTACAAGAGATTCTGCACAAAAGCTAATAAACATTGTCAATACTCTCTCTAATATACAAGACACCAGTACCTCTACTGCTGGAGTGGTTGATGATATACTACTAATAGCACAAGAACTATTAGTGCTACACAATGACTCAACTGCTTTACCTACCTCTTGTAAAGAGATTAAGGAGAGACAACCACTCAGTCCATCAGGTGTGTATCTACTCTCAAATACTAGTTCTACTTATACTGCTTACTGTAATATGGAGGAGTTATGTAACTCTATTGGTGGATGGACAAGACTAGCATATCTGGATATGACTGATGCTACACAGAACTGTCCTTCTGGGTTTGGTCTATACCAGTCAGGAGGAGTTAGAGCTTGTGGTAAACAAACATTACATGATGGTTGTATATCAGTTCAGTTCCCATCTCATAATATCAGTTATTCTCAGGTGTGTGGTAGAGTAACAGGATATACATTTGGTTCTATAAATGGTCTTTCTGGTGGCACTGAAGGTGTCATTATCACTCGTGGTTCTTCTCAGCAACATGTCTGGTCACTAATTGCTGGCAATAGTGAATCAGGTTCTTCATCAAGCTCATGTCCTTGTAATACTGGGAGTTCTGTGTTTGTGCCATCTTCTATTGGTAATAATTACTTCTGTGAATCAGGTGTTCCTAATAACCCATCACAGATTCTCTACACATCTGATCCACTATGGGATGGTCAAGGTTGTGGTTCTCTTGAAGCACCTTGTTGTAATGTTCCTGGTATCCCATGGTTTCACAGAGACTATGGTAGCAATACCACTACTGACTATATTGAGTTGAGTTTGTGTGCTAATTATGATGATGAAGACAGTCCTGTTAGTTATTATGAGATTTATGTTAAGTAGTAAAGTGTGTGTACAAACATGCATGTGTGTGTCTTAGTATAGACTATAGAGTGTGATAATTACTAATGTTTCTTTACCTTAGTATATACATGTACAATGCTAAGTTTTATTTTTGATTAATTATTTTTGATTAATTTTAGTACACATTATCTAGAACAGTGAGATGCGTGTAATGGCCAGCACTATCATGTCTCCATCGTTAAAGTTACAGTCCTTCTCTGTTAAGTGACAAGTTTATTTTTATTGTTCTTTCTTTTTTTCAAATCACTATATTTTATTATTTTAAAGTCTATTTCAAAGTTTTATTGCACAGCAGTGCTTATATCAAACATCAAAGGGATTTATCATGCCCTAGGGCAGTATAAGTGATTTATCAGCACTGCGGCATCTTTAAAGTTTGGCTTATACATGTAGGTAGGATATAAGTGACATCAAGAGTATAGCTGAGATAATTCATTCAACCAAATTTCTTTTATAACTGTACTTGCAAGCACAGAGTCACTTCTAAGCATCAACACACCATTTCAACTGTCAAATTTCATTTTCTAATTTTTAACAAAAACTGAGGTTCTCCCTATAATTAGCTCCAATGGCACACCCAAGGTAAAGCAATGATGTTAAATAAATGATACCAGCACTAATAAACGCAATGCCATTGGTACATTGAAAACGAGATTTAAACATCATAAAACAGCTAAGAGAATACATGTACTATACAGACAGTGCCACTACAAGTGCTACAAGTCCTAGAATGATACAATAACATGGACATCTAACTTGAGTACATGTAATCATATGCATCATCAACATTACTTATGTAATTAAAAAATGATGAGCTAACCGTATATTTTAGTCCTTGAAGACTATCAGTAGTTTCTTTTAACCAGGCAAAAAATTCCTGAGCATTATTAGTTGGGTCTCCCTCTCCATAAGTGGCCATTACAAAAATAACAAGTGATCCATCAACTTCCTGTCCTACTCTAGTAAGGTCATCCTAATATAATAATAAAGTACATGTAGTACAATAATTACTTAACCACAACAACATGAGATATTGGTAATATTGATAATAATCAAATAATCACAGCTCCTAAGCAGTGGATTGGTGCACTATTATTCTTCACTAAATATATTTCAATTCAAAAATTTGCAAAAAAGGTCTGTACATGTACATGACATGTGTTGTTTTGGTCCCATGATTAAAAAATCATCAAAATCTGCTAAACATTCTACATACATGTAACATAAAGACACCAATATGTATCTGAAACTATAGTGATATTTTAGAGTCTATAATTCATGCTTTCTTGAAACTAAATGCCTAAATTTTGTGGAATGAACTCAAACTTTATGAGGGAGAGAATATGATTAGAATGTAATACTGTATAACTCCAAATTTTCATTAGTCAAAACTTTTGTAAAAATTTTAATTTCTTGTTGAAATTAATTTTCATCAATAAAATTTTTGTCATTTATGCTATAAATTCGCATGCTACCCATGTGGAGCAAAAATTTTGTCAGTCAAAAATTTCATCAAAAAATGTCTAACAAATTACTGACTGACAAAAAATTTAGAGCTCCATGTATATGTACGCGATAACAAATAATAACTTGAAGTACATTGAAGCTGCCAAAAATTTTTGACAAAAATAAGCTCAAACTTTATATATGGCATAAGGTGACAAGAACATCAGGGATTCATACAGGATTTTTTGTAGGGAGGGACATGATGAAAATTATCAGTAACATCACACATTTCAGGATTTTATTTTGTGATATTGCACTAATCAAGCAGAAGTTAGTTTTGCCAGTTCATGTGTAAACTATTATACACATGACTGCTAGTTTATTTCAATTGTGTAATGAACAACAGTGAATTATAGCAAGTATGAACCCATTTATTAAATTTACACAAACTACCGTATAGCTCAAAACTTTCAAGGCTGAAAACTTCCGCAAATTTCACAGTTTAGGCCTCAAAAGCGATAGCTTTCATCGAGAAAATTCAAAGGGCGTGGTCATATTATCTATGGCTTATTCCATGCTAGCTGCGTTAACTAAGTAAGCACATGTGTCTTAAAATGGCCTCTATTAGCTGTATCTCGAAGAAAGAAGACCAAACCCTCTTGCAGTCATGCTTTTCATTTGCCTGATGCTGTGGGAGCTCTCCCAATCTTCAAGTATAGAGCTGCTAGCAGACATGGGGTCAAGCACTAGGAAATGTGCTTAAACACAAACACAAACACTTAAATGTGTTAGTTCCAGCATAAGCACAATCTTTAGCTTTAACATAAGTGTTTAAGTACAAGAACAAGCATTTTTCAGAGTGCTTAAGTACATTAATAAGTACTAGATATTCAATAAGTGTAAAAATAAAGTAAAATTACAATTATAGTTAATTTACTATTGCATCTAATAAACAATAGCTCTGTGAATTGTTCATAATAAATGGAAACAGCAGAGAGCTTTTGAGTGATACCACTAATGGTGATGCCATTACCATTCTTCAAGCTAGCACACAATCACACAATGTGCTACAAAACTTGTATACTACATGTACATGTACATGTAGTAGCACATGTACATGTTTTTTACTTGTGTGGTAAGATTTTTTTAAATAATAAAAATACAGAATATACATGTACTTATGTGTGTCTGAATGTACATGTAGATGTAGATGTACATGTACATGTACATGTACATGTACATGTAGTGGTACATGTAGATGTACCATGTAGATGTAGATGTACATGTACATGTACATGTACACTATTTGTGTGTAATTTTTGCTGTGCTTAAAAGCACTTTTGTAAATTTATAAAAGTAATTAAGTACAAGTACAAAGCACATAGATTATATTGAAAAGGTACTTGTAAGCAGCATTAGGTGCTTAGAAAGCTGTGCTTATTTGTGCTGAAGTACAAGCATCAAGTGCTTGACCCCATGCCTGGCTGCTAGCCACACCCTCAATGCAATAAACCTGAGCCATTCGCAAAAGTTTTATTCGCGACTTTCTCTTTTTTCACTCATTTGCAAAAGTTTTTATCCTTGAAAGTTTTGAGCTATACGATATTTTAGGGCTATACTGTATTTTAGGGGGAAACATAGAGTGGGGGGGAACTTAGAGTAGAGGGGGATTTCCCCATTTCCCACCCCCCTGTATGATATCCTGGCCACACTGACTTTTTAAAGCCAAAACTTTTAAAAGTTTTCTACATACAGTACATGTACATGTACAACCCAATGCATGTACACTGTACAAAACATTGGAGTAACATCAAACAAATTAATGATTAATTACATCATAGATATTATACACGGAACAGGATTGGAAACAAGGATCACGTGAGTGCATTATGTATTGAAACCAACCTAGTTTGCCGGGAACTGGTTAATTCATGGTTATTAACAATGAAATTTGAATTCCGTAATGGAGATAAATAGAGATTGTTAAAAATACTTTGTGGGACTCTTTAGCCTATACCCGGTGGTTTTATGACAAGGTATACTAGTTCTATGGCTACTTCTTAACATCCTACAGTGGACTAAGACGTTTGTTACAGTGCGCATCTGTTAGTTTGAGTAATGGAATTCTGGCTTAAGCCTCTTTGCTTTGGCACGCCATAACTTCTTGAAACATGCATACACACACTAATAGATGCCTTATTCCACTAAAGACCCTTAAGAGGTAGCCATAAAGGCTCCTACTAGCCTGCTTTGTCATCCAATCTAGTTGCTAGAGTCCCACAAAGTACAATGTATCTCCATTACGGTCATCAGTTCCCGGCAAACTTGGTTGGTTTCAATGCATAATGTGCTCACGTGATCATGTTTCCAATCCTGTTCCGTGTATAATATCTATAATTACATGTAGATCCTTACCCAGTCAGTGCAGTCCTCAGGGTCAAAGGTCATGGCTGGTAGTCCTAAACGAGATGAATCCTTTGCTAATCTATTGGAGAACTCTTCCCCAGTGCCAGTTTGAGACCCATACAGAATCAATACTCTTTTCTTTCGGGTTTTCATTTATCAATAAAACTACCAGACGTACTCAGTGAGGAGGAATAAACAGGAGAAGAAATCTGTTTTATACTAATAGAGAAAAAGAGAAATCGGCAAACAGTCATTAAAGACTCGATCCATTGAAAATTTTAAATTGTCTTTTAATTTTTGTGCTCACATTAAATTCATCAAATTTCAAAAGCCAGACTCAAGGAACAAAAATTTAAAATCTCACAAGCATATGCAGTATGTGTGAGATTGGCATTCCACAAGTGACAAGGTTTAAAGACCAGCGTCGTACATCATGTGAGCAGAATTATAAACTTGTCATAATTAATATTAAAACTTTATCTCTAAAATATTGCTGTAATATTGAACAAATAGGGCCAAATACCACATATATAGCAGGAAATTTTCATGGCCCAAAATTTTTGTGGATTTCACGTTTTTCAAAATTGACGAAAATAAAATCCGTCTAAATCAATTTAATATGGTTTAAGATGGCTGAAAAGTAGAAAACCATGGAAATTAAACCCAAGAAATTGATTTTTAGATGGAGCCGCAAAAATTTTGGGCCACAAAAATTTCTCACTATATGGTACAATGTACAGTGTGTACATATGTCATACATGAAACTTTGCTATGATGTGGCATGACTTTTATTTTTGATCCAAAGCACAGAATTTGAAACACTCAAAAAAAGGAAATTAAAACAAAACCTACATGTAAAACCATGTACGTGTATGTCTACATAAAACACATTACATGTACATGTAAGGATACATGTACATGTACATGTATGTATACACATCATCACTTTTGATTGTTCACTTACACTGGATTAATTTGCAGCTTTTTAACCCTCTCGTCATCTCCTCTTGCTCTCAAGAGACAGAGAACTCAGTTTGATGTCCTTCCAAAATATAATATTCAGAACTATGAAAAGAATGAGAAAAAAGATGGGGAATTTCTTATAGTTTGTTATAGTTGGTCTCTCAAAACTGAACAAGGTCAAAACAACAAGGTCAAATACATTTATTGTATTTCATTGCAAGTGCAATTATGAGTAATAATATCAAATGCAAATACAATTGCAAATACCACTTTTAGTAATGTATTTAATTACATTGCAATTACAATCAAGAGTTATAATTAAAATAGTTCATACCAGCACAATGCTACTATAATAAGCATTACTTCTTCAAAACGTTTATCACTGTGTAAAGCTTCTTCTGCACCACACATACATGCATGTCTATATGTACATGTAAATGTACATAATTATGAAATCTACATATTTTGAATTAAATAGTAACTTTTAGGGTAATTAAATACAATTGCAAATACATCTGATTTTTGTTTATAAATACAACTGCGATTGCAATTACTCAAAAATATGTATTTAAATGCAATTAATTAGGATTGCACTGTATTTGACCCCAACCCTGGTACATGTATATGTATCAGGAAAATTTTTTTAAATTGAGAATTCTCTCCTAGTCATTTTTTACAAAATATCATGGATCAGGGTTTCTACAAAGCTACTGAGCAAGCTAAACAGCAGACCTCATGAGCTGAACTACATGTACACTGGGAAACCCTCATTGTCACACTTCACTCTACATGTGTACAGTACATGAACATATGATCATGTGAGAGGAGATTTTCCCTGCGTCTGTAACTCTGAAGTATAGTCAGGACACTATGAGAACACAATTTCGATAAAAATTCCAATTACAGTACATTTTGTTCAGGCTTAAGCATAATTACAATTATAATTACGGAATTGTATTGTAATTGAGCCTCTAATTACAATTAAAACTGTGATTGACCAGGTCTAATTGGCAGAAATAAAATTAATTTCTAGCTACATGTATATGATACATGTATACATTGTTTCCAGAATCAATGGTTCAGAATATTACAGCTACCAATGTTCAAACACAGGGTCAGTTACAATTATATTAAAACATAATAGCTAGATGTACATGTATTACTGGAAATTGTTATTATTCCTATTATTGTCATTTTCATGCATTAACCTGTACAAACTATATGACCTCTGACCCACTTTAAAAATTCATAACTGGTCAGAATAAATACATGTACACTCATCAAATAGGCAATAAAATGTAAAACCTCTAGATATTAATGATATCATTGTTAACATAACAAAAACTCCATTTAACATGTACATGTGTACTTTATGCACAAAATACATGTACATGTACACTGTATGGCTTTTATTTATACAGAATGACACATCTATTGAGCCAGTTGTTAGAATCAATGGTTGAGGGAATTAGAATTACATGCATATCAGTTACTATAACTAGAAAAGAAACAATTTTAAAACCAAATTTGATTAGAATCAGTTCAACCCCTATATAACACTCACAGAACATATGTACATTCCCCAGTTTTTAAGAAATACCATCCACAACACACAATTAGAACAACAAACCCAAGAAACTAAATGCATAAATATAATTATATCAACCCACTTGTTACTTCATTATGTTAAGACTAAAGATAATTACAGTCAGTAATATAATCCATTACTTTCTTTAATTGCAGTTGATCTGTCTTGTATGAATCCACGAAAAGGAGCCAGTCCAGTCCCAGGTCCTACCATAATGACAGGATTGACCGGACGGAATGGCAGCCTCAGAGACGAGTGACGTATGTATACAGGAACCTTTCTGTTCTCTGGACTCACATCTACAATGAACCAACAATAAATGAAGCATGTAATACTAATGAGTTATACTGTACATGTAATCAACACATACAAGTATAATACCGTAAAGTGCTTTATTTAGGCAATTTTGATGTAAAATTGTAATTGGCGGCTTTTAATTTGGCAATTTGTTGTATACACATTAACACATACTGCATGTGCATTACTAAGAATGTGCATAAATAGTTGGCAATTTTAATATTGGCAATTCCACTTGCAAGCCACCAATCACCAAAATAAAACTGCGAAATTAAAGCATTATACGTATTAATCCTGTACCTTTCAATCGTGCAAACAAGCTAGTAGCCACACCCTGCTTACTCCGACCAGTTGATGTACAATATTCAACAAGTACAGCAGTGACATGCACTGAATTTGGATACAACTAAAACAACAACAAAAACAATAATAATAATACTTGTAATTACATGTATTATAAGTACATATTCATAATTTTTACTATTTTATATCCACCTTTGGAGATGAGGATATTGAGTAATATCAAGCCTGTACCCATGGCTATAGCTCCGAAAGGTAATCAAGTGGTGGTCTGAAGGAGGATACCATGACAGTAACAATACTCCTCTGAGCTTAACAACCCAACGACTGTATTCAGCCTATGAGAGAGAGAGAGAGAGAGAAACAGTGACATTCATGTACATGTAACATAGAATGTGATTAACTTTAAAAATTAAAATCCTAGCCACTCACCCACACGGTTTTACCAACCTTTCCCTCCGCACTGGGTGATGTTATACTAATTTCACAAACCTTCAAATACAGGTAATTAGCAAAAATTATTATCCTAAAAAACCTGCTATAATACGGTAGTATAACTCATTGATTCGGGTGTGCGATTCTTGAAACAGTGGAAATGGGGAATTAGTATTACATGTATTTGATTGATGGCTGCAGTAAGCAACTGCCAATATGAAATCAGCCATTCTGTTTCGTTCTGAACATGCTCATGACTGATGGGCTGCTAAATCACCAATGTGAAATCTAAAACCCATAACCATGCAGCCATAATAATTAACCCATAACCAGCAATAATTCATTAATTCTGCCTGTAAGGTATACCAACTAATACATAAATGTACATGTCCATGTATGTGCTATTTTGCTTAATTCTCATGGATTTTCCAACAGCGAAATATAATGAAGTAAAACATATCATTTAGTGCCTTAAAATACCCATATATACAAGTACATGTACATGTAGTACAGCATATGCATGTACACATGTACATATAGAAAGGACGAGGGACAAAAAAAGGAAAGAGAGAGATCCTTACGGTTCTTATATGATCCTAGTCTGTTTGGTTCTCCAGTAAATACTTCATCAGTTGATATCTCAGTATGAAGACTGAACTCATACTCTCTACCAACAGCTGTTGCTTGACTTGAATCTATTTTGAAATACTGCATCACCTCAGGCCACAAACCTTCCTTCCATGTAATGAAATCCTCTTCAATACTATACTACAGAGAAAGAGGGAGAGAGGAAAGGAAGAGAGAAAGAAAGCGAAAAGAAAAGGAAGACAAGAGGGAGGGGAAGAGGAAGTTATGTATAATAATTGTATATTTATTATATACATGTATGCATAATTGCAAAGGCACCAGTAAAAGTACATGCACATGTATCTATATGTATTATTTATTAACCTCCTCCCTCTCCTCTTTTTAATGTTTCACTTACTTCCCATCATCATCTCCTTCTCCTCTCACATATATTCTCTCTCCTCCTAATTCTTCTAATCTCTGATCAACGTAACGTCCCATCTCATTATAATGCTCATATGTTTTATTGCCCAATCCAAAGACCTATAGTAACAATATCAATAATAGAAACCATTGTAAATCATTCAATATAAGCACTAAATATTTCCCAATGATAATTGTAACTTATAAGCTAAAAATTTACACATGTACTTGTGACTATAACTATCCAATAGTAAAGCCTTCCAATATTATAATTTTTTTACCAACTTGTTGGGAAAATAGTCTATTCTACTTCGTTCTTGACAATCAGAAAAAAAAGATTAATTCTAACATTTCACTTTTTCGTTGCTTAAGTTGTGTCTAACTTTTCTAACAAAATGATTCAGTTAAATAATAAGAAAATTACAAAATCAAATCATTATGCAACTATGACTTTGTGCTACATTTGTACATAATGTAATTGTTTTTCTGCCTTGCATTCTCTTAAACAAATATTATTCTGACATTAAGTGCTTGCTTTTTATTATCATAAGTGCTTAAAGTTTATCTATTAAAAGTATATGGAGTCAGTGTATGGACAGTTATCGCTGTCTCTGTATCAAGTTTAAAGAGCTTATGAGATAAGTCATACATTAAAACTAAAAATGAAAGGAAAGGACAGATACATGTATGTCAGTGATTTTTTATTAGCAGCTCAATCAAATCAGGAAGATGCATATGAAATGCTGGATATTAATACTAACATAACATCAACTGATACTCGACAGTCTCAACCAGTAGAGGAAGGAAGCAAAGCAGTCAACATGGAGTAAACCCCTTGATGTTATTTTCATTATCGTAAGTGCTTAAAGTTTATCTACTAATAGTATATAGATTCAGTGTATGGAAAGTTATTGTAATCTCTATATCAAGTTTAAAGAGCTCAGATAAGTCATAAGTTAAAACTAAAAATGGAAGAAAAGGATAGATATTTTAGTGACTTTTCATCAGCAGCTCAACCAAATCAAGAAAATGTATATGAAATGCTGGATACTAATACTCGTGTAATACCAACTGATACTCAACAGTCTCAAGCAGTAGAGGCAACAATAAAGAAGGAAGCAAAGCAGTCAGCATGGAGAAAACCCTTTGTTGTTATCACAGTATTACTATGCATCATATTGGTAATACTGGTGGCTATACTTTGCTTAATGCTAACTCAAATGTATGCAAGTAATGCTAATGCTTCAACTGCAGCTACTGCTAATACAAATAACTGTCCTGACTTTGATGAATGGACTAATGGCGTCATCTCTGAAGTTAACAGCAATGTAACAGGGAGCCTTCCTGACTTCAATGAATGGGCTAATGGTGTTGTCTCTAAAGTTAACATCAATGTAACACAGAGCCTTCCTGACTTCAATAAATGGGCTAATGATGTTGTCTTTAAAGTTAACAGCAATGTAACAGGGAGCCTTCCTAACTTCAATGAATGGGCTAATGGTGTGGCACAGAATACCTTTCATTTATTTCAGAGCTCTCCCAGCTTCACTGAACTTGATAAACAAATCTTACAAACTACAAGAAATTCTGCACAAAAGCTAATAAACATTGTCAATACTCTCTCTAATCTACAAGACACCAGTACCTCTACTGCTGGAGTGGTTGACGATACATTTTTGTTCATTAGATCTACACACCTTGCATTGCTGTATAACTCATCCTTTGGTTTTTCAACATCATGCAAGCAAATCAAAATCCTATTACCTACCAGTCCATCAGGTTATTATGCATTAGCAACAGCTAATGGATCAGCTACTTATACTGCTTACTGTAATATGGAGGAGTTGTGTAACTCTACTGGTGGATGGACAAGAGTAGCATATTTGGATATGACTGATGCTACACAGAACTGTCCTTCTGGGTTTGGTCTGTACCAATCAGGAAGAGTTAGAGCTTGTGGTAAACAGATACGACAAAATGGTTGTATATCAGTTCAGTTCCCATCTCATAATATCAGTTATTCTCAGGTGTGTGGTAGAGTAACAGGATATCTATTTGGCTCTATTGATGGTTTTAGTAGTGTCTTTGATGGTGTTAGTATCACTCGAGGTTCTTCTCGTCAAAAAGTCTGGTCATTCATTGCTGGTCAAAGTGAATTAGGTTCTTCATCACGTTCATGTCCTTGTAATACTGGTAGCTCTGTATCTGTGCCAGCTTCTATTGGTAATAACTACTTCTGTGAATCAGGTGTTCCTAATACCAGTCCATCACAAATTCTCTACACATCTGATCCACTATGGGATGGTCAAGGTTGCGGCTCTCTTGAATCCCCTTGTTGTAATGTTCCTGGTATCCCATGGTTTCACAGAGACTATGGTAGCAATACCACTACTGACTATATTGAGTTGAGGGTGTGTGCTGATTACAGTGATGAGGACAGTCCTGTTAGTTATTATGAGATTTATGTTAATTAGAGAAGTGTGCATGTGTGTGTTTGTGTGACTCTTAGTATAGAGTAGTGTGATAATTACTAATGCTTCCCTTGAGTTATCTTAAATACGTAGTACAGACATTTTGAAGTGTTATTTTCTTTACCAGTATTAATTTTGTGGAAGCTTTATTGCATCTATACTCTATACATAGCTGAAGTATTAGAGTATATCTCTACTTTGAGCTATAAGCCTGGTTTACATAATGATGCATGGTCTTGCTAATGCAAGACCATGCATCATTATGTAAACCAGGCAATTAAACCTGGGCAGAATTGACATTATTCATACCTCAATATTTTGCTATCAAATATAACTATGTGCCTTAATATACCATACTATATTCATGTTAAATTATTTATAACAAATACTTTTAGTGAAATAAAGTGTTTTTCACAATAATGTCCCACAACTATTCAAGGATTTTGTTTTAAAATGTAAGCATGTCTACTTTTTCTGGTTTTAACCTGCTTTCTACTGGTGTACTGCCTGATGCACTGAAGAGACATCCTGAGGAGGAATTTGTTGCACAAACACAGAGGTACCTTTTAGCAAGGTTTGAGAGATAGGGTTGAGTTTTGTGTACATCCTTCCAATAACCTCTCCCATGCACTTGTCTTGCTATTGGTACTACTGGACTAGTGGACTTCCTTTTGATAGCATCTTAAAGCCCAGAGTGAATCCTGCTGTCGTTTACTTGAAGATGAGCAACAAGGTTAGATGTGCTTCCATGTTTTGCTACTACTTGACAAAGCTAAGAGTGACATACAGCCCACCCGTCATCAATTGGCTTGCCTTGTTCATCCTTCCTCAAGCAAAAATAGTCCCTTTTGTTCCAGGCTTAATTGGCAATGAGTGTTTCAGTATTCTCATTCTCTTCCAGTGTTTCTTCTCTTGGTTGACTAACCATGCCGTGTCTTTTACTCTTTTTTCTAGTTTCTGGGCTGTCTCAAGTGACCAAGTGGTTACATTGTATTTGTCAGCAAAGACACAAGAAGAACCAAAATGATGCACTCTGCACAGTATCTGGTACTACCATAAAAGCTGCTTAAAGATTTCAAAACAGAAACTAGCAGCAAATGATTGTACATTTGTAAATGTCCTTCATATGCTCATATTAGTGTTGGTAACGATTAAACTAAGTTAAATACATCAATATGTCATTTTATGGGATGGATCTTGTATAGTTTTAAATATAGGCATTTCTTCCCCAACATATACATCATAGACACAGTGATGACTGTTACTTCAATAACTGGCAGTTAACTGATAACTAGGTCATTTTAAGATTAATTAATGATTATTTGTATAGCTAGCCCTGATGTAATTACGCTGACACTGAAGTAGAATTTTACTCAAAATGGTTCCCATAAATATAGGGGGCAAATTACATTGCAGTACACAAAATTGTTCCTATATATACATATCACTACCTCCTTCCTCAAGAGACTCTCTCCTCTACTCAGAAAAATTTAGCAGACCCTATCACTCCACAATGAACTTCATTTGATGCCAGTATTCATTCACCATCCTTCGATCTGCAATCCGTTGTATAAGGGGCACTGGGCATCGTGGTAAAGTGATTGACTACTCTGATTTTGACAGAGCGGCCTCTGATGCCCATATTAATATTATTTAAATTTAATCATTTTTTGTTTATTATTATTATTATTATTATTATTATTATTATTATTATTCCTTATCATTTCCTTTTTTGTGTCACTAACTTAACCTTACCTATTTTTAACCTTGCTTAACCTACATGTTTCATTTCTACTTTTTATTAATAATAAATTCTTTTGAGGGCTTTGTTCTTTTTTACTGGGCTATAGCCTTGGGTAAAAAATATATACATACATATGGGAACAGCTGTTAACGTAAAATTATGCCATAATTTATTAAGTGTTTCCAGGAGTAATTCAGAGTACAGTTGCACAGAATCACTCCTATATGTAAGGGAGAAAAATTTTTAATGTGTAATTCTATCTTTATCTTACGTTTAAGTTGATTATATTATATGTATAAGCATACTTTATAAAGAACACAAATACATGTAGCTTATTGTGGCCATTGTTAATTTTTGAATCTTTACTATTTGTTATCTATTGAGTCGCGCTCATGAACCATGGGGACCTTCTTCAAATTAATTTCAATTTCTGTTCTTGTACTGCAAAGAACAGGTACACAATATTTACATGTATTTACATGTAAATGGTGCTTCCTAAAGCAACATGTTTTTAAAATGGTGAGTGAAAACTTGCTGGACAAAACTTTAGCAGAACTCTATGGTATCTTTAGAAAAAAGGAATATTAAGTAGTCATGGACCTTCCACTCTATTAACTAATGGAGGTACTGACAGTGTCTGTTAAGCTAAGTTCAGAATATTTGTACTGTGACCAAAAGTGCTGCATATAATACAATGGAGAAACACTAAAACAGAACTTTCGGTCACATTGCAAATATTCTGAACCAAGCTTTATTGTCGACTGTGTTGAGTTGAATGATAATTAAAATATGCAACAAATTTATGTAGAATAAAATTTTAAGAAAGATAGTCAATTATTTTTCCAGAACGTAACATCATTCACTGGCTATTTGATAGAATTCAAAATTTTATAATTAATTTTGCT